TTCGCCCCAGTGAAACTACTGAGAAGCGGCTAATCGTCACCGACCGCTTCTACACCTCGCCTGCATTATCAATGCAGCTTTTAGCGATGGGGTTCTACAGTATTGAGACGGTGATGACTAACAGACGCGGTCTGTGCAAAGAGATCATTATGAAGCAGAAAAAGCGTCCTGCTAATGTGCTACGTGGCAGTTACACTGTTACCGAGTCAACGTTAGTACCAAGCGTCAAGATGGTGTGTTGGTGGGATAACCGCCCCGTTCACTTACTCTGCGCTGGTGGAAGCGCTCAGCAAGATCGAGTTCAGCGTAGAGAGAAATCAGGCGAAAAGGTGGACGTTGCTTGCCCAAAGATACTGAAGGACTACCAGGCGTTTATGGGCGGAGTTGATGTACATGATCAACTCCGCCTACAAAGGCAAGGATTACTACCCTGTATGTACATGATAAATTTGTTTCTAATCCTGTGTTATACACGCTATAAGAAGGTATTCGCTACAGCTTGCTTTGAAGTACAAGAAATACTACAAGTCGCTTTTCTTGGGGCTCGTTGACCTCGCTATCGTAAATTCGTTTATAGTGTCCAACCGTCGTCGCACAAACGAAGGTAAACCAAAACTCAAGCACGTCAAGTTCATGAAACAGCTTCACACAGAGCTGGTGCACCTACAGGCGTCAGACAGGAGCACCCTGTGCAGTATGGAGGGCACCCCAGTAAAGACGCCGGCATCCGTGAGGCAGCGGGCGCACGTGCCCAGGTTGACGAGTGGCGAGAGGGAAACAACGGACAGGGCCGGAAGCGCAGACAGAGAGCTTGTAAGGTGTGCTCGATGATGAAGGGGGTTGACGAGGCGAAAGGTGGCGAGACCACCTTTTACTGCAGCTCATGTAATTTGTCTTCTAGCACCAAGCAGCCAAAAACCGCTCGCGTGTATCTGTGCACCAAAGTCAAGCACGCAATCAATGGTGAAGCCGTCTCCTGATTTGAGATTTGGCACAAGTGCTGGCGCAATGGCACCTTTCTTTCACCTTCAAAGAAGAAAAAGAGGATTCGCGCTCGGAGACCCGGTTCGAGCTCTGCAGAAGCAGCGGGGTCAGCAAGTGAAGACGCTAGTGACGGGGAGGGTGAAGACGCGGATGACAGCGCTCCTCGGCCAAAGAGACGTCACCGCGAGGAAACGACATCGTGAGCAGCTGCTTTTGGTTGTTGTGGCTACTTGAATTCAGTATTGCATGTGTCCGAAATTCTGCTGCTGCTTTTGAAGTCTATATTATGACAAATATATCCAGTGATCGCACGGCCCTGACGCATGGTTATTTCTTCTTTGCTCCTATATCGGACACGATAACTAATTAGCTTGTATCAGAGAGAGCTCTCAGATTGAATAATACACGATAGTAAATTTTTACCATCGTAAGTGTTGGGTTTGAGTGCGGCTATGCAATATACACGATATTTAATATACTAGATTTACTATCGTAACCCTTTCCCGACATACACGCTAACAACGATAGGGTTTAGGGAGGTGGGCGCACTGGAAATCCTTCGCGGTCAAGGGGTTAACGTTATTAGAAGTGCAGGTTGTTTTGGGTGAAAGGTGAAGATACAGTGATAACAAACAATAATAAAGAGGTTGTAGCAAGAATCATGATTCAAGATCATTAGAAAAATTATTTCTAACCCCTCTAGCCCCGCGTTTTCGGGCGGAAATTATCCTGTAATCTACAGGGTAAGAAAATGACTTGGTTTATTATTTGCGGAGTTTTTCCAAGCTCACAATCTCTGTCAGCTATCTACTCTGTGCAGTACAGGGTAAGAGTTAAAATGGTGGCTCTAACATATGGCACAATATCCTGTATCGCACAAATCGGCTACAGGGAAAATTTCTAAATATCAACAAAAACCATCACTCACAAAGAGTTTGCACTCATTCCATATTTGATTATTCATAGGATTGATTAGATCACTGCTGTCTGTACTGCTCACAAATATTCTCTGCAGAGCGTCCTGCATTCGTAGCGCTCGCTGTGCTTCGTGAATTTCCCGACCCTACGCTGGAACCGTCATCGCAACAACTGTCACCTTCCAGCTCGTCGTCTATACGTTGCGCACCTGCTCTAGTAGCACGAGGAAGCCGAATAGCCTTGAGACCGGGAGGAATTGTCGCTCCTCCCCGCCATAGATCGTGCCATATCTGGCTGCAGGTGGCCGAGTTTGTAGGTCCACTAGGATCATGTTGCCGCACCTTTTGGCATAGATACACCTTCCCTCTTCCAACGGCGGTATTGTCATCCACGCTCCGCATCCTCACTTCAGAGCACTCCACACAGTAAAACGTGGTTTCCCACGGGTTCTTGCCCGGACGCAGCAACGAGCACACTTTGCAGCCGTATTGACGGCGCTTCTGTGAGTAGGTCCCGTCCTTTCCACGTGTTGTGCGAAATACGCTCACTTGTTTAGTCGTGTGTTGTGCTGGTAGCGTGTAGCGCGGAGCTGACGAGCGGGAAACCGGAGTGTCTGCCAATGCTTCAACTGACAAGTCTCCGGCAAAGTCAGCCGGTCCAATGCTGAGTAGTGCAGTCTGCATCAGCCGCTGAAACTCAGCATGTGTCGGAGGTGCTTTACCGGGAGCAAGATTGCCTTGAATACGTCGATAGATGATGTATGCGTTGGTAAGCGCCATGTCAACTAACCCAAGAAAGATTGTGTGGTAATATTTCTTCATTTTCATCGCTCTCTGTAGTATACAGGAAAACATTCGACCGTTAGTTTATATTGTCATGTATAATACAGGATAAGAAAAGAGCAAGTTTTTCCTGAATCGAGTATCTTTGCAAGCGCAGTTGGTCATGAATATCTGCTCCTCCCATACCATCTTGATAGTCTTTCACGAGTTGAGGAGCTGGCACGTCAACTACTTCAGCACCTGCGCGTCTTGACAGGGTTGTCGGTCGGATACTACACCCTGTAGCAATGAAGTGTACAGGACGGTTGTTCATCCATGACACTGCAATCAAATTCGGCTCAGTCTTGGACTGTGCAATCCGGTATACCCCTCTCGCCATCGTCTTTGGTCGTTTAGCTTGCTTGTACGGAATGTCTCTACAGTAGCCTCGCCGATTCGTTTGAATGGTGCCGACATAGTAGAGTCCACGTTGTAGAAGGATAGACGACAGCAGCACACTTGAGTAGAAACGGTCGGTGATAATCAGACGCTTCCTTGGTAGTCCTTCCAGCACCTCTTCAACATTACGGATCACAGCGTTGGGGCCTTGGTTCAGGTCTGCACAGTCACTGTTGAGCTTTCCTTGGTATATCTCGGCCCTATACAGAATAAGACACAAGCATAATTACTTAGTACCTGGATAATACAATGTTCTGTAGACTAAGTGATCCATTGCCTGTAGCAGTACCCGCTCTCTGCATCGCAAGTCAAGAAGCACTTAGTACCCCATGGGTGAGGTTTTCCTCGAAGAAACTGCCGCATGGGGTTGAACTTGCTACTCATCGGTATCATTCCTTCTTCGAAGGCGTTGCCCTACTGTCATCCCCAGCTTGAACGTTGCGTTGATCGTGTCCGCGACAGGCTTAATCTTCCACGTCTTGAACTTGACAGCGTCAGGATGACTGTTGTCGCTAAAATGCAAGAATCGTACGATCTCTTCGAATCGCTTTCGCGACATGTATCGCCCAAATGGGTCTTTAGGAACCGCGCCTTGTACATCCACCGTCCAATGCTTCGACAGCTTCTCACGGTGCGGGCAAAGGGGTCGGGCACACAGTAAATCAATGAAATGTACCAGCTCATGCGCTTGTATTGGCTTGAACGATCGTGGCTCAGCCTGGACTTGCTGTACAGTTTTCATCTTGTACTCAGGTCGCCTCAGCTTGAGCTGTCGCTGTCGTGCCATTATTTCGTCCGCTGCCTGCGTTCGATACTGAAGCTGGTACCGATTTGATATCGTAGCGATAGACATCCACATCGATTTAGGCAGGAACAGGAAAAACAATCCTTCCAAGTGCAGTAGCCAACTCCGTAGGTGTGGCGGAGCAGCGTGTAAGCTCTGCCGACGCCAGCTGAAGGGAAGCGCCTACATAGCAACGATATATGGGTATTAGTGTCGAGTACAGGATAGCCGAAGCAAAGGACACTCGTTATCCTGTATAGTACACGAAAGCACTCACATGAATCTTCGAAGTAGGTCGTCCAGCCTGTTTTCGCGTGTTCGCTCAGCTGGTCCTTGTTCATCTGGTCGAATGGAGTTCCCGCTGAGAGATCGACTGCATCTTCCTCATCGCTGGTGTTTTCTTCCTCTTCACCAGCAGAAGTTTCACTTGTACCTTCAATGTCGGACTCATCGCCTTCATCGACTTGGAAGTCGTCCTCGTCACCAGAGCTTAAACGGTCATCACCAACAGATATGTCTACTTCTGCTGCGCGAACAGTACACGACCGTAGTGGACGTAGTGACGGTATAGGAGACGCAGCGACCTCTTTACGCGCACGTTTCTTTCTTGGCGTCTGGCCCTTAGCAGGAGCTTGGGCGGGGGACTTAGCCGGCGACTTGGCTGGCGTATTGGTGGGTGACTTGGCAGACGTCTTTTCAGCTGACTTTGTAGGCGTGATCCGAGGTGACTTGGCAGGTGCTTTGGCAGGTGTCTTCGCAGGTGACTTGGGGTGCTACATGCCTGCACTATTAAATACAAGCCCCTCCTGAATAGAGTCCTTATAAAAAACTACCAAATCTGCTATTACAACTTGCTGACTATCCATTCTACAGAGAGAAACACTTTCCCGTCATTTCCAATAATGCCTCATCAAAGGCAGTCAGTTAGCATTGGGCGTAAGCAAGAGGTGATCAAGTGGATTAAAGATGTCGTTTCAAGGACCTACTGTACATGGAGATTAACGCTTGGAAAGAGTCAGACCTAGTCGAATACACTCGCTTTGGTAACCCACGTATGCCAAGTGTTGACACCGTTTGCGATTGGGGCCTCCGCGCGTGGCGAGACACGGATGAGGCTACAATCATGCGGAGCGTTGAAATAGCAGGCTTCTCGAGAGACCCCTCGTCGTGGTTTATATCCAAGCACGATAAGTAAGGCGCAAAATTTCATGAAAAGTGGTCGAAGGAACCAAATGAACGAAGACGTCGATCTGATATCTTTCAGAGTTAGATGATGCGTTAGACGATATTAACCTGGTACACGAATCATTTCAGCAAGGAATAAAGTCCTTACCCGTTTAAAGTCCTCTCTGTCACTTTCGGGCGGCACTATTAAATATAGTCCGGACTCTAATAGGGCGCGTCCGTTATTACGATGATTTGTTGAGGATCAAACTGTAATCCAATTGTTGGCGGGCTGGCCCAGTGGGGGGGGTACAGTAAGAAAATCGTGATTACGGAGATTCGGTGGGGGTCATTCGGTAACCCAATTCTTTGGCGTGCTACGTGTGGCAGGCGTTGCTTCAGTTCCTCCGTGCTTCGATTCATCGCGATATAATGAAGAGCGAAATGCAGTAAATGAACACTGCAGTGCAGCTCGCTGTGGTAATCCCCTCTAAACATTTCAGCGCAATTACTACTCGGGTCTGGTGCGGCTCCACCCGCTCGCACCCGCTCGGCTGCAGTTCAGCTTGGTATTACACCTCGATTTCCGTAAGCTAAAGCCTTTCCAGATTACGGGGCAGATCATGTCAACACAGCTCTAAAGCAATGTCAGAAGCATTTATTATTATCTTGCTTTAAAGCTGCTTGATTAATCCGTCACCCCATGCGATAGTGATCTGATTCGGTGGCTACTTTACAGACGATCAGCTCCTCAAAGGCATGGAATGAGAGCTCATTTCAGAATTTACCTCGCCTGACATCCTCATCTGCCAATGCGCCTGGTATTGCTGACGGAGCTTTCAACTCTGGTCGTGCTTTTTGCACCCACTGAGGCAGTATCGCTCGATATTCCTGGCTGCGAGACCAAGATTATTAAATGGAAGTACGCTTCGACGCCAACGATTCGCTCTTCGCCCACTGAGGTCAACGTCAGCGAAAAGAGAAGTCTGCGGGGCGACGACAGCAGTATGGACATGGAAGTGCTCAACCCGGATGATGAAGAGCGAGCGGCACCTCTTTTATCGAGGTTTGCATTCTATATGAAGGCAATTCTTTATGGACTGACGCTCCGGGTTACACCGAACACTCAATGGAAGTGGACGCCGCTCTTTGAACAGAGACTGTTCTCTTTAGTTCACAAAGTCAGAGGACCGCCGGAATTTGCCGAAATTAAGAACCCCAGAGTTGCTGCGAGGTACAAAGACTGGTTCCAAAAAACGTCGTCGCGAAAAACCTGGTTAGCGCTTAACAGGTACGGAAACGCGGGTAAGACTTAAATCACGTTCAGGACATCGATAGCGCCAGCATCCCGTTCTCGATGTCCGTAGATTAAGCCCTAAATTAAGAAAGAATCAAAAATAGAGATGTAGCTAAGCACAATTATTCTTTCTTTAGTACACGTCTTTATTATAAAGCCGTGTTTCACACGGAAAAGCTCTAGGTTTACAGTTGTGTGCAGGGCAGTTGCTTCATTATTGGCTTTACAGTAATGTGACGCACATTATTGTATACAATTAGCTGCAGTCCTGTATTACGCTGGATGTTTTGTTCTAGCAGCGAGCATGTGCGAATCGCACTGCGATCACAAGAAAGACATTGGCGATATGGGAGCATGTGGTTCATCACCTGCGCTAAGTGCAAGCTGAAGTATGGCGTGCTTGAACTTGGCCTCGTGTGGAGTTATCAAAACGGACTTCCTGGACTGCCCGGAATGGGAGGCAATACACAGGCTTCGAAAGGTGCCTATTCGAAAGGTGCCTAATAATGACGTTGGAATAGGACAATTTGGAATGGTTCAGTCGCGCACTAGCATCAGTATCAAACAAGTAACATAACGAGCAATACACGTTGTCGCTAGTGGGAGTTCCAGCTCCCAATCTACTGTCTTGATGCTGTAAACCGCCACAGAAACCCCACTATATCGGGTATGACAATCCAATGTGTGGAAATTCCCGAATAATACCCTCTACCCGAATAATACCTCAGCGCATACCTTCACACTTACCAAGAGTAACCTCACTGAAACAAAGTTAGTATTTTATCTTTAAACTACCTAAAAACGGCCCCGCCTGGCAGACAATGTCATCGTATTGTTTCTTCATTCAGAAGAGCCATTAATCGATCCTAAAAAACTACTGCATCAGTTGCATTGCGGGGTGTAATGCACCATTAAACCTTGGCCCCTCATAAAATTCTTGTAGAAGGTCATGTCGGTCGGATGTTGAAGTGATGTTCGAAAGGTGGTTATCTTCAAACGATGAGACGTTAGAATAAAAAAAAATATTGGAGTTAATCGATAATTTCCGTTAGATCTTATTTAACAGATGTATCAAATGCTCAAGTCAATTTATTTAAGTTTTAAGTTTGAGTACTAGGGTCAGAATGACTCCAGAGTTTCATCATGATATCGTAAATGAGAATAACGAGCGTTTTGTCGCTTGTTGTGGATCCGTTGTGTAGTGTTGGAAAAATTGTGCTTGTCAATACTGGCTCGCAGTTTATATTTCTTCAGATGCTGGAGTCGGCGTTGGTCCTGCTACTTTTCTCGAACGTTATCTCAGAATAAAGTTTGTTATATGTTACCCACAGTTTTTTTTTCATCTGCGTTTTTTTAAAGATATTTTAGGAGAAACCATTACCGTGATATTCGGAACGTATAACTAGGAACAGCTAGCCGAACAGCTCCACTATTGGCTAATCATGGAATGGGAGCTGGTCCTGAAACGCTATTATTTTATCACCTGCTCAAACGATGTGACTACATGGTTATACTGATTTCGCCACACTTACAAGAAGCGACACTGTGGACGTTGCGAGCTGTGAACACCTTCACAATTATTCAAAGTCACCAGTGCCGTGACTACGACTTTTACATAGCCCCGAGATTACCATGCCGTCGTGTTATTTACTATCGTTGCTGTACGGCTGTGGATCCCTACAAACTAGATATTGATACACGAACGGTGGTTTTCTACTGCTGTTTCCAGTCTGATATCCCCGACTACACGAAGACTACTCGACACGGACGGAATTACCATCCGTCGACCGTGTTGCACTCACGGCTGAAGTGCAGCGTTTCACGAAACTGGAGTAATCGACGAAATCCCCGATTTACTGGTGTCTCTTTTTGCTAAGCAGCTTGAGTTCCCCAACGGATATTTTCGCAAACTACGGACGGGAATTTCAGATTCTTCGTGTGCGCAGGTCTACCAAACCTGTTTAAAGATCCTGCGTTTCCCAAGAAACATTGATATAATCTTGTCAAGCAACCTGTCGTAGAGACGGGAAAGAATCATAACGAACACCATTGTAAAAAGACTGTTCAGATACCTCTTGTTATTCCCTACAGTATCGATTCTCTTACTAAAAGTAGTCTCATCGAGTAAGATTTAGTAGTAATAGAGAAACCTCAGATAAATTATTGTAATTTGTGAACGTGTATTAATACTGAAGTGCCTACGAAAGCGAGGTACAGACGAACCTCTCTATATTGATATCATCGTTTTACTACTATAAAGAGGAATTATTAATCGGAGCTGTCAATATACGGCAAACACAGCACTGAGATGACGAGCGGCCGGCGTTGCGATTCGTTTCTGGCTCGACTGGTGCCAGTTTGCGGTGGCATTTATCAATTCCCCGCCCAACACTGCAATGTGAAACAGGCTGACAAATGCACAGCGACGACAGATCTGCCGACACAAAGCCGACAATCCATCATTGAGCCAGGTCCAGCTTGGGTTGTGGGCTCAAAACGTGTTTCAGCTACAGCGCGCTTTATCACCGACAACGATTAGAAAAATCCTGAAGCAGGAACACCTACTCGAAGCCATAACATTGGAAGCCCTAACTCTAAAATTGCACCGCTCGGTTCGCTGTCCCGAGTTAGACTCATAGCTCCCGACTGGATGGCAAAAAAAATCCAGAAAAACGCTTTTCCATTGCATTTAACATGCAATGCAGATGGATCTGAACGTTTGCCACCTCTTGTTGTTAGGAAGAAACAGCAGATGTCACTATTATCATTCTTCAATCGACTTTGACAGAACGGAGCGAATCGATTGTTACGTACCGCTACATAACAATATCCGTCCTGTCGTATTACTATTTACTAGGAGAGATCATAAGTTTGTATTCCAAGGAATTTAATATCGGGGATATCAGTACAGAGAGGATCGTCTGTACCCATACTCTCGATTATCAGAAAGAAGGAGAGATAAAAAAACAGCTACCTGTACATCTCAACAAACAAAAACTGCCCAACTACATAAGTTTAGAGGTCAAGCTGTGATTCGTGTACTCTCCTGGGTAACCACTGTATCTCAAAGCCTACACCTCACAAGAAGGTGGTGTCAACCCACCATTCGGACTCGAAGTTCTCTCCGAGGATGTCCTTGATCGCCACAGCCGCATCCAGTTGTCCACTGAAGGCCACCCGTTGATCGATTGCTGCTCCGGGTCCCTTGTTGTTAAACTCCTTCAAGTAAACGTCGGCTGTACTGGTAGATTCGTCCCAGGCCGCCCAACCTTCCGGGTTAACAATGTCTCCCAGCTCGCTGTTCTGCCACACCACGCGGGCAAAGGGGCGCCACGGACGACCCAAGTAGGTTGAGCCATTGCCGAACACGCGAGCGTTGTTGAAAACGTACTCGGAAGTGACGGTAGCGTTGGCGTTGCCGTTGGCAGTGATCCAACCTTCTCCGATCGACTCAATGTCGCAAGACTCGAACCACGCCATGGCTCTTTGGCCAAACACAAAGTCGACAGCACCACTGATGTACGACTTAGCGTACAGCTCACGACCCTTGTTGGCACACACAGTGTCCTGGTACCCGGTAAAGTTGCAGGCGTAGAAGCCATAGTCGGCCCCATCGGCATAGATAGCAACCCCTTGGCCGTTCTTCTCGACTTTACCCACGGTATTGGCAACATTGAGATTGTACACCTTCACTTTGCTCGACTTGAGACCCAACGTACTCGTGAGATAGTTGCGGTTGTTCTCGATCTCAGGTGGGATGTCCTTCTGAGCCTTCGCCTGGGTGATAGTCACCTCGTTCGCAGCGTACGAAGTTGTGTCACACGTGTAGCCCTGCAGTAGCAGCGGTCCTGCCAGTTTCGGTACCGACACTTGCTCGTTGTACACGCCCGGGAATATGAACAGCGTCTGTCCTGCCGTCGAGTTTGGTAGGTTGGCAACGCCCTCCACAACGGTCTTGAAGCTCCCGTTGTAAGCACCAGAGGCGTCGACGACCACAGCTCCTGATGGAGGCTCAGTCCTCGCATTTGGACCACTGCACTGCCCCGAGGAACCAGCAGTGACACCACTCATTGGGATACCGGTATCATCATTGGGTCCGTTACAGTTGTCGTCGGTTGCTGCTAATGTGGTCGTCGCAAGACTGGCAATCACCGCCAGTGGCAACACAAACGTACGCATTTTCCGTTGAGATGACTTGGGCGGCGTAAAGGGAATTTCAGAATGACTAAAATGACTTGCCTACGGAAGACCCTCCACATACCGGTACAAACATGTACAGCAAGACAGCCTACAAATTCGTGCTGTTGTTCGTTAAACAGATAGGCGAAGGATTGGAGGATTTGCCGTACATGTACACGTACAGTACTTGTACCTACATGTATTGTAGCCGATGAGTATTATTGTATGCATTACGTGTATTATGGATAAAATACATGGTATGACGTTTGAGCACGACGCAACAACTGTTTGTTAGCAGTTAACGCTGCCGCAAGCAAACTGGTAGGAATAGATGTAGCGTAAAATATTAATAAGCTTGTTCCACTGCTCGAATCTGTCCACTGGAAGGGACTAGTACTTACATGTACTTCAACACTGGAAGTATCAAATGCTTTCCCGTTGGAAAGTCCTCCAACTCGTTTGTGGAGAACCGATAGTCTTAAGCAAAAAGTGTTGCATAGCTGCGGTCTTAGTAAAACGTAATAATAGTTACATTTTTGTATAAAGAGTGGATCGATTTTTATCGTTTTTGGTGATTGAAGAATCTAAGCGTAAGTAGCGAAAATGTTTGAAGAATTATTACGTAGGCGAGCAGGCACTCAAAGTGAATCCACACGTCGTCGTGCTTGATATTGAAGACTTGCTCGATGCAGTCCTTAATTGTAATTCGACCAATCGAGAGCGGGGCGTCCTCGAGGATTTGGCAGCCGATCTGTTGTTTTTCCTTCAATACTGAGGATTCGTTCTCGCCCTGTTCTTTCGAACAAACACCGAAAACGAGCGCAACCAGGATCGACAGTGCGTATCGATGGGGGGAAATGTAACAGCACCATTTGTACGCGTTAGGAATGGACGCAGCCGGAGGATTGAAGCCGGAGAAAAGCAAGAAGAACGAGTTCAAAAGAACCCCCACAACTGTCGCCAACTCGAGTGTGGGCAGAGCGAAAACCAGAAATTGTCCGAGATACGTCTCCACCAGTACGAAAAGCGACACGCTGACCCAGTACAACCGATTCGTACTTAACGACGTGAACCCCATCATAGGATAAAAGATTGCGGAGAAGAGTAATCCTGTGGTGAAGGCATATGCGATCTCCACTGACGTCGACCCCAAGAAATACCACACTACACTGTACGTTTGTGCGTTTCTTTCTCGATAGAAGGCAGCGCGTTCTCTGCCAGTGAACGGGAGCACGCTGTAGAACGAAATGTTGCCCTGGCTAAGCGTTGTCATGAGGATCACACCCACCGCCGAGTTGATTCCTTGGTAGCTAGTGTAATTTCCACGAAAGAGTAAAAGTCCAAAGAATACGCCAAACCCCATCGAAATCACAAGACGCGTAAGGTTATACTCCAGTACAATGTGAAGAAACGTCTAATCAATGAACCCATTTGGATCCTCCAAGCTGCAGCACGTTTCTTGTCCATTGTAACCTCTGAGAATCGATCAAGTGCCGGCTTCGTGACTCCTAATTGGTTTAAACCGTGCAAGAGAGATAAATACTCTCGACTTCGGTAGAAATAACGCACAAAGTCAAAATGTTTTCCCTGATTCCCAATGCATTGGAGCATCCAGGTGGCTGGATTTTGGCCTTCCGACAGACCAGGAAGACCCGGAATCGACTCGAAATAGTCGATCAATTGTCCACATTCGCGTTGATCCGGAAGAGAATGGACCAAATTGCCAAAAAACACCATTTCGCCACCTTGTTTCAGCACCAACAAGCTGTCAAAGAGGAAGAAAATATCGGACGATGGCTGGTGAATTGTACACACGACCGTGCGTCCAGTGTTTGCCACTTTTCGGACGCCATCCATGATCATCTTGGCCGAGTGGGCATCCAACCCACTTGTTGGCTCATCCAGGAAGAGAACACTGGGCTGTGCAGCCAGCTCCACGCCGATAGTCACGCGTTTCATCTGCTCTACTTGGTCAGCGATTAAACATAATCCTAAAAGATCCAAACACTCCTCAACCGATTCGCGTTTGGCGTCCATCGAGATGCTGCTGTCTTGACGCAACAGAGCGCTAAATGTGAGCGCTTCACGGATTGTCGAGCCTTCCGAGTGCGTGTCTTGTTGCTCGCAGTACCCGGTGCACCGTCGTATAGCTCGTTCAGTGGCGACGAAGCCATTCAGCATGATTTCGCCACGAATTGATCCCCCGGTCTTCCGACCGGCAATGACATCCATCAGCGTGGTCTTACCGGCACCTGAAGACCCCATCAGCGCCGTCATTGTACCTGGGAGCGCGTACCCATTTACGTTCTTAAGAAGATCAACCGTCTTGTCCGCAGTTTTCACGGAATACCAGAGATTCGTGAAAGCCAAAGTGACCCGTTTCAACGGCTTTTTCTCCATGTGGATGGCAGTATCCGATACAAATTTTGTGCTAAGACCCAATTTTGAAGTAGTAGTCGACATCTCCGGTGTTCGAATGTTGCTGTTTCAGCTGCAGTTGGAGCGCTTTCTTCCTCTTGTTCGACCGCTCGATGTTGCTCGATGCAACGTTGTTTGTCACCACTGACGTATTAAATCTTCTATGTTCGAGGATACAGATTGCAGCAGCTACGAACACGACAATGGCAAGTACCAAGTATACTAAACCACCGTAGACCCACACTTCGCTTGACGGCACGTTGAACTGTGAGTAAATATCCTCCTACGGTTGTGTTGAATTGTTCGCAATAGTTCTCATCGCCATTGAAACACCCTTCAAAAACAGAGGAGCGATACTGACTCACCATCACTGAACGCACACACCAAGTCACTGGATTCACCCAATATAAACCACGAGAATAACGCTGGTATTTGAGTCATAGGAACCACAAAACCCGAGAATACGCTGAAAAGGACAGTGGAGAGCGTGGATAACGGTTGAGCCACGTCAAGATTGGGTGACAGAATAGATAACACCACGTAGGAGCTGCTCAAAGCCACACTAGATAGAATCATCTCCAGTAAGAAGACCAAGAACGGTCCAGCCTCCGCGACGAACCCACACATCCAATACACCAAAGACCCGAAAACAACGCTCTCGCACACGATCACAGGAAACGCTGCCGTAAGATACGCGATCACGAACGAAGACGTGCGATAGAAATTGGCACTCCGCTGTTTGTAGAAAACCTCACGAGCATCCATGAACGAGGGGATCTCAGACAATTGCCCCACCGACAGGAAAATTGCAGTCTGGTACACAATTCCCATTGTCACTTGCACGTTCGTGAGGTCAACTTGGAAAATGTTGTCCCGTAAATAACGCCACCAAATACCACCATTAACGCTCGAACACCAAGAAAGTGTTTATTGCGAAAGGATATCGTCAGTTGACGACGAACTAACATCCTGGTGCTAGACCAGAATGATTGTCGGAATGCTGGTAGTTGCATCAAATGTTGCATGGCGTCACAGAATTGTTGCATACTACACGGGATTTCCAAAAGTCTCAGTGTATTCCTGAAAATTGAGGATTCTCTGAAAACACCCGCAAATTCACTCCCCAATTTTGGCACTCGGGTAGAAAGAGCATTTGCAGTTTGTATGTGCTCATATTGGCACTGCTGGTAGGTACCGATATCCAGAAGAAAGTCGGCAACGTCAACGTCTTGTGGACACAACAAGCCAAGTTCTTGGAAATATGGCAATATTTGATGTCGGGGTCCGTGATAGACAACTTCACCCTTATTTAGCAGCAAGATGCTATCGAAGAGTTCGAAAACCTCAGTGCAGGAGCGCCATGACAACCGTCTTGTGTTGATTCTTGGCAAGTTCGCGCTGTTTCAAACGATGTTGAACGTTGTGGCACTGTCGAGTCCAGTGCTGATCTCGTCCATCAAGACGATACATTTCGCGCCAAATACCATTTCTCCAGTGGTCACACGACGTCGCTCCCCTCCAGAGACGCCGCGAGCCATGTCATTGCCAATCGTTGTGTCTCGACATGTCTGTAGCCCAAGGTGGTCGATGGTCCCGTCCGATGACGCATCTCCAGCACAGCAAACTCGAGGGTTTCCTGCACCGTAAGGGAAGGAAAGTGTTGGTCACTCTGTGGCACGTATGCAACGAGTTGCGGCAACTTTGGCAACACTTGTTTCCACTGCACGAAATTGCACCTTTCACTGTGACATTCTGAAGTCGGCCACTCAACATTTTCAAGAATGTTGACTTTCCCGATCCTGGTTGACCGAGGACGAGCGTGAGTGTCCCACAGCGTTTACTTGGCTCAACACGCGTCGTTGTGTGGACCTTCGAGTGAATGTGGTCGCAACCTTCGTGAGGCTTTTCCAAAGAGACGGCAACCCCGACGAAGTTTCATCTTCAGACTCGACAATTACCGAGAGGTCTTTGCACCGTATTTCCAGTTTCGGCAACTCGTGTCTGTGCAGTTGAAAGTTCGATTCGAGTAGACTGGAAACTTGGTGCGTGGCGGGGTGTTTGGACATCCTTTCACTTTGAGAGTTGGAGTTGCACGACGGCGGAAGTTGGAGAATAAGCTGACTGTCAATGAAGGTCACAATGAAGTTTTCGAGTAGGTTTAGTCTGACATCCAATATTGTAGGGTTTTTACAATCATGTGGGGTTTCCCTCGCTTAAAACCAGACTATACTGTGATAACTCGCCCTCTACATCACTCGTATTCTGTTAGCGTATCAGCAGATTGCGATGTTTAAGCCTCGGGTTGTATCGATGATAATGATGGCTGCACGCCTAGTTGAGCGTGTACTACAAGTGGTATATGGCCGCGGCAAACGCAAACACGGCTGTCTCGTTAACCTTTTATATTAAAAGGACCCTGCTTTAACCCCTTATTTTGATCTTATGTTGGAGCTCAAACATAATTTAATATAGGAATTTGTATGGCCCCGAATTTCGTCCAGCTATGCAAATGGATAGTGCAGGGTTGCTAATGGATAAAAATGAGCACATCCAACATATTCCTGTTTCATGTTGGATTTTCTCAGTTGTACTGCTGCATAAGATGACTGATGCAACATTGTAAATGGCCTGTTTATTGAGATCATTGTCTGTGTAACATTGCACACGTCAAGTAAAGAAGAAATAGCCAATAGAAGCAAATCAATGTAACCACTATTCATTTGATTGCACACGCAAACGGCGCACACTACGATTGCTCCCCCTCTGCAGCAGCGTCTTTGTTCGGGGCCTGGTCATCGGCATCGCCGGATGCGTTAGCGTCGGACCCACCCGCTGCTACTTCACTCGCGCACACCTCACTGCCGCTCGCATCACGTCGGCGGTGTCGCTTCTTGCCTGGACGCTCCGCTGGCGCTCGGTCGCGTATCTTGTGGTCGCGTAGCAAGCGGCTCGGGATGTCATTCCCGTTCCTCCAGTCGAGGTGCCATATCTGAAAGCACGTGCGCTCCCTTTCCTCCCTAACAACGTTGCAGAGATACTTCCTGCGGCACAACCTACAGTCAGCGCTATCACCGTGTTAGTATCAAGCATGAACAGCATGTACGTACCTCTTTGGCCCTGCAGAGCATTCTGGACAGTAATACTTCGTATACTTCCGCGGCACCACCTTGTAGATAGCACACACTTTGCAGGTTCTGTGGCGACGCTTCTTTCCGGTTTCAGTGTCGGCCTTGTCTGGGTTCTCCGCCAGTTCGTGGCCATCATCAATGCGGTCTGAGCCACGTCGCTGCTCCTCCCGTCTTGGCGACGCTCCTCGTGCAGGTGAAGCGGCTGTACGCTCCTCAGCGGAGGTGGATTTCTAGAATAGGAAACATAACCAACATAACACATATTAGTAAATGCATTTATGTTGCCAAACCCATCATAGCAACTTACCTCAATCTCAGCGAAAGAGTTTTCATCAACAGCAAGTAGTTGTTCCATGAGTGTCTCGAAGAATGCGGAATGCTTCGGGGATCTGTGCCCATTGGCACGCTGGTTGTGTCGATACACAATAAAGGCGTTCACCAACGCCATGTCCAGCAATCCGAGAAACAAGGTCTTGTAGTACTTTCGTGATTTGTACGAAAGCTGCACGCTGTAGCGTTGCATCCGGAGCTGGTCGTGCACATCAACACCTCCCATGTATCGGTGATAGTCACGAACCAGCTCCGGTGCCGGTAGCTCTTTCATCTGGCCTTTGATACGCCGCACTACAATAAAAAAGCACAATAGTGAGCAATGATACATATATATAAACACACAGGCTTACTTACTGACACTGACTGTTTCTCTGCTGCCACCACTGCTCAGCATGTGGACGGGATTGCGGTCCATCCACATTGCTGCGGTTATCTGCGGAAAAAGCTTATTTTCAGCCAGCTTGATTGTCCCCTGTGGTGGTACTAGCTCTCTCACACCATTCACGGTTCTGTAAGACTTGTCAGTCTTCACATCCTTCGCGTACCCTGCCATACGCGTCTGGATCGTACCCGTAATGTACATCCGTCGCTGCAACAGCTCCAACGCCAGCTTCACCGACGTGTAAAACCGGTCTGTGATTACCAAACGCCACGGGGAGGTCGGTGATGGCGGGCACAGCGCGTTCATGTTCCTTAGTACGGCAGCCTCGCCGCAATTATTATCAGCAGGAATCGGAGTCCGGAGATTACTCTTAGCACCACAGTACACCTCGAATCTGAACAGTCGCACAAACGCACACGATATTAGTAAAAGTAATAAATATGTTGGATTAGGAAATTCTCCACAATGTGGATGTTTGCCCGTCCAACATAAGCACTTAGACCAAAACAAAAAGTGGCAAGCATTAGCTTGCCACCTTGAACGCACCTCATGCAATAAGCTGTATCTGCACACGCTGCCACGAACACCTTGGTCCCCCACTTGTGCGGTTTGTCCTTGTTGAACTGTCTGGTAGGATTGTAGCGGGATCTTGAAGGCAGCGTAGCTTCGTCAAAGCTAATGACAGGAGGAATCTTGTAGCCGCGCGCAAATGTACGCTGTAAAACCTCGATAACCGGCCGAATCTTCCATACACGATCCGTGCTAGCTTGAGGCGACTTGTTGTTGGAGAAGTGCAAGTATCCCATTATGTGGAAGAACCGGTTGCGGGACATGTACTTGCCGAAGCGTGGCGTTGGCAACGCACCAGCCGGTGTCAACTCCCAGTGAGCAGCAATCCCCTTTCGCACTGGAGACAGCATCCTTGCAATGAGAAGCGCGATGACGCGCAAAACCTCATACGGTTCTATCGGCTTCACACGTGCTAGTCGCCGACGAATATCTGCGAGGTTCTCTACTTCTCCACCACCACGACGCTGCTTCGCTTGAATCGCCTGCGCACGACCCGGTATCGACTGCGTGTGGTAGCGATTGCTCTCGACGGCAATCTGTCTCCACAATTTTGGCGGTAGGTAGTAGAAGAACAGCGCCAGTGGGTCTTCAGCCACTCCAAGGACGCTCTCAGATGGTCCATAAGGCCCGTCGTAAAAGTCTTCATACGTAGGATTGTCTCCAAATTTGGACTGGTCTACAAATAGCACATCAAAGTGAGTTAGATAATGTTAACATTATGTTAGACAACGACGGAATAATAGTTGCGTATGTTGGATAGCGTTCAACATAACTTACCATACTCCCAGCCAGAATGTTTCATCTCCGCCAAACGCGCCGCATTCATCGCCACCGACTTGCAGAACGTGTCCGGTAGTTCAGTTCCAACGCAATCGGCTAACTCCTCATCAGAGAGTTCTCCAAGCTCCCAATCTCCTTCCCACTCACTGTCCGCGTCGTCATCGTCTGAATCAGGACCAGATTCCTCTTCTGATCCGAGGCCAGTGCACTCACGTGCACCAGCCGCCATGATGTTAGGATCACCGTCGACTACGCAGGCGACAGGGAGATGCGGGGCAGCTGACGCAGCACCGGTGTCTGTGGTGTCACTTATGGTGCCTTCAGCTTGAGCTTCGCGTTCTGGACTGTCTTGTAGGACGCGGCGGCGTCGTTTCGGGGATCTTTGCGTAACCGGCGCCTGCTTGTTCGTCCGAGGGGGGCGCAAGGTCTCCACAGCGCCTTGAGCATCTCGCACAGGCGTTAGAAGCGCACTTGAAGCCACAGCTGAAGCCACAGCCATCACCACGTCTGCTACAACTTCCTCCACCTCTGGTTCCACAGAATCTTCCTCATTTTCTGCAACAGGTATTACCTCTTTAGCTTCGTCCGTACTCGCTGTTGCTTCTGTCTCTTTGGGTGCTGCCGGCTCAATATGTGGACCTCTAGACTCTGCTATCTCCATGGCTGTCGTCGTAAGTTTCATCGCCCTCTTCCTAGACTGCTTCTTCAACGCACGCCCCTCAGCGCCATGCTTTGGCTCTGCTGCTGACTGCCTCTCGTCGTCTCGACGAAGGCGACGCTTGTGGCGGTCACTGAGGGCTGCCTTGCACAACCGGGTCTCTTCCGCTGTCAGCGTCCGTCGTGGCATCTTGCCAGACGTCGCCACCATTCTGGTCTGCTGCCCCCGCGGTCGTTTTGAAGTATGAGAGAGTTTTGTGACTGTCGGCCACCGGTTGGTGGTGGGTGACACCGCCTCTCTTTATCTCGTTCAATCAGGAATCCGGTCCAGCTACCCTAAGCCTGTGCATCCGGCCGTTTTAGGCTCCCACTTTTGTCTTGACTTCAGTATTGAGCTTTCCTGCGCTCTCTTGAGATCTGTTCAATACAAACCCCAAGTCAGTTTTTCTCTTATGTTTAGCCGCTAAACATAACATAGATGCCGAAAAAAACTGAAAGAAGCTATACACCTCTTATGTTTAGCGGCTAAACATACGGGAACTAAGGGGTTAAGCCTCGCTTCCCAATGAAGCACCCGAGGAAAGGTATTTCCTCCGCGCCAAAGACGCACTTATCCAAAGTTGGCATACAACTTATTAGTGCGCATGCACTTCGAGCACCGCTCGGCAAGTGGTCAATGTGGATTTTTCCACGTCTGACTTTCCGTGCTCGGCACGACTATAGACGAATATATCGTCAAAGTACGTTTGAGCGTACGCCCGGTGGGGCCTAAACAACTGCGTCACAGGTCGATTGAACGTTGCTGATGCGTTCAACAGCCCCTGGGGCATCACCGGCCACTCCCAGAGCATACCGCTCGGAGTACTCAGCGCTGTCAGCGGAATGTCGCTCGCTCTCATGAGCAATTGGTAGTATCCATCGACCAAGTCGAGCGCGCTGTACAACGTACAGCCTACCATGTTGCTCTGCAGAACATCCTTGCGAGGAATCAGCGTTTGCGCCGGGATAGGTGCCGCATTTAGCCCTGTTAAAAGCATGAACAGTGCGCCACTTGCCGTTCGGCTTTCGGACACAGAACGTGGGTGTCGAGTGCGGAAACTTACTCTCACGCACCATCCCTGCCTCGTTCTTCGCACGGAAGAATGCGTCAATGACGTCACACTGCTCTCTCGGCAAAGGACATTGCCTTGTTACGCAGTATTTGGTTCCAGGAACCAGGTCAATCTCATGACACACGCCTCGATCCGGAGGCAGGCCCGTCGGTGGGTCTTTCGAGACAACGTCTCCATACTCCTTCACCAACGGGTAGAAGGGATCCGAAGGATCTTTTAGGATCGCCGATCCACTTCTTGCGCTCACCGCCTTCTTAGTGTCCTCTAGGACCGCGTCGTCCACGACGGATGAGGAGTTTAACTCCTCCTCAGGTCCCAGTAGGACCACCTCGGCTAGTTCGCCTGCCTTTAAGGCTTCGCCAAACTCGGTCATGGACATCTCGTCCAGCTCTAGCAGAGCATCTGCAGCGGGCAGAGTGTCAAGGTTGATGTCGCCTTCTACCTCCCCGTCACTCCGATCACGAGTGTATACAACTGTTCACAGCAATCACGTGGAGCATCACCGCTCGTCACGTTGGACACATCGTCCGACGTCGAAGACGTCACAGACGCCCTGCGTCTTCTTCTCCTCTCCCTCCGCGACCGAGCCCGGCCGGATGAGGGCGGTGTGGCGACATCTCCGTCACCACCACCGGGTGCAGCAGCACCATCACTCCTCGAAGAGGATACAGTGTCTCGCAAGACACTCGGCTGAAAGCCAGGCGGTCCTTGACCTTCACACAGTGAACTAGGTGTCACTTCACCTCCCCTGGGCCACGCCCATGATGCCTCGACCGCGACCCTCGGGTCACGTAGCGGTAGGTCATCGACCAGATTCGTACCACTCAGTGGATTACGCGCCACTCCGCGCTCGTCCTCACCAGGACCCAGCAGTTGGTCATTGACCTGACCTGCACCGCTCAGCGGATAACGTGCCGCACCACGTACGCCCTCAGGGCAAACAGCAACCTCGTTGCTAACAATTTCGGACATACCAATGTCCAGCACTAAGGCCGCCTCGACCTCGTGCTCGCGCCAAAAGCGCTTCTGCTTCCTAGCAGAGGTGGGTTCATGACTCACCAAAGCTCCACTAGGAGCAGGGTGCGACGCACCCAGCGTTTTCGACTTCCAGTCGATCCATGGCTCATGGCGTTCCAGCCATGCCATGCCAAGGATGGGTCATACCTCGCATCCAGGTCTAAGACCAAACAGCGTTCCACGCTATCGAAGTTCTCAAACTTCACTCCAAGGTCGACAGAGACCTTCGACACAGTTACCAGTGTCACCGTCGCGAGACGGACAGAGATCGTATCTCTCGTTGGCACTTCCAGTGCTTCAGCATACAGCTGATTCTCTTCTAGGGTGGAGCGACGGGCGTAGTTGCCCGAGGCTCCCGAGTCAATCAAGACTCTCCATGGCTTTGCAAAGCCCTTCACGTTCGCTTGAGCGACCAGCAAGCCCGGCTTGCACACACTCTTCTCGTAAGAGAGCTCAGCTCTCTTCGGGGCTGAGCCCCGTTGTCCTCTACCTCTTCGAGGCACAACAGAACTCAGTTCTTCCCCAGTAGGCCGCCCCGCGCCTACTGGTAATTGCCGTTTCCCGGCGATGATCCGGAGGGTTGGCTCGCCGGAGCCATGCGCTTTTGCGCAGCGAACAATAGGCCCTCACGTGCTTAGTGCTATTGCACACAAAGCATCGGCGGATGCCGGCACGCTGCTCCGCAGCAAGAAGCTCCGCTTCTTCATCTTCAGCATAGCTGAGGTCCATCGGCTCTGGACCGCTCGAAGAGCTTGCGCTACTAGCGCTCCAACCAGGTCGAGCCGACCTGAAGTTGTGCTCAGCATTTAATGCCACAATTACCGCCCCTTCGAAAGAGTTAGGGTGTACACGGAGCACTTCCGTTCGAGCTGCGCTCACACGAAGTCCCTCCATGAACACGGTCACGCTGACCAGTTCCGGAAGAGGGTCCGCCGCCATTCCGGCGATAAGAGTTCTCAACTCTTGGACATAGTCCAATAACTTCTTCTTACCCTGGCGGGTAGCAAGGAACTTTGACCGGATACGGTACGCCTGATTAGGCGGCGCGAACACGCGCGAAAGCTGTTGCTTCAGCTGATCCCAAGTGGGAAATGCAGCGTCAACAGACGTGCCGCACGTTAGTGCCCATTCGCGAGCGCGACCTCCAAGCCTGGAGATAGCCAGCGCCACGCGCTGATGCTCAGACTGGAGCAGGGCCGATCCCATGGCCATCTCGACCTCACGGGTCCAGAGAAGGAGATTCTCCCCATCCTTCCCCTCGAAGGTTTTTACGCTCACCATGAGCGGTTTCAGTCTCATAGACTCTTCACGCGTCATCGACGCCGCCGCCGTTGCGGCGCTCATCTTCTCTTGGACGTGCTCCAAGAGCGCGTTCTCGTAGCGGGAGAACGATTCCAGCCTGGCGGTGACCGCCTCTGGACCTTGCGATGCAAGATGAGCCACGCCCTCCGGGCCAAGCAAGGACATAAGCTTAGTAAGTGCGTCCTGCTGCGCCGGGGGGCAAATTCGCGAACACGGGGTGTTCCATCCTCGCAGAGGATATAGTCAACCGACTCAGGAGCGGGATTGACTACAAGTGCTACCAAGTGCAGCGGGGGCTGCCGTAGCTTTAGCGTCAGAGAAAGACGTTTGACTCAAAGAGTCACTAATACTAAGTTCCTTACCCAAAGAAACTTACAGCCCCAGACCAGGGCTCAAAGTTAATACCTTAACTTTTATGTTCAAAACCAGAAGTGTTTTATTTACTATTATTGCGGCCAAGCCGCCTAGGGGTAAATGTATCTGTTTAACTATCTAGCATAGTTAAACCTAATCAAATGCATACCGAGTGGCTTTCAGCCAACGTACTGAGAGATCTTGTTAACTCTCCATCTTATGTACTGAGAGTTTGTTAACTCTCCGGGTACTTCGTACCCCTGTGTGTTCCACACCATGAAACCCCGTTACAAAGGTGCTGTGTGACCCCGTCACACCCATCGTGCACGGCTTCCCCGTCCACAGCAAGATCCCCGCGACCATTGCCTGGTCTCCAGCCTTCACGGAATCCGCCCAGTCGTCTTCTAACACCACTAATTACCTGGAAATTACCGAAAATCTCAAGGCCACTGACTATTTAATCACCGGACGAACTTCCGGTATTTTTCAAATTTCTCAGCAGCTGCCTTACAAAACTGTAGTTATAATAACAATTGCTGCAGGGTAATGGAAATCACCGGACAGCTATCCGGTGATCAAGCTTAAGAGGTCGCCGAACGGTCACTCTGATAGCTCCCCCTGCGAACAACTCGATGGCTGCCAACGACGAGATCAACCTTGCCGAGTTGGACGAAGAAGTTGTCCTCACAAGGGCTAGTACACTACGACAAAGTCGCGTGCTACCTACCTTGACTCTACCGCTCGAATAATGACTTGGATGCTGCACCACAAGTCGTTTCTAATTGCTGCCGACTTCCGCGACGAGCTGCAGTTTGATTGCAGGGGCGATGCAACTAAATCGTCAATTCTCGCTGCACTCTCGTCTGTGCCGGTCAACCCTCCCCCCCCCGCTTCTCTTTAACGACGTCACGGCGGCTGACTTTTTAGCTTTGATATTGTCCATGAAAAGCAAAAGCGGTTTTCATTCGTTCTCAACCTACGCAGAGCATCGCTCGGCACTGTACAACCTTTTTCGCGACTACCATTGTATCATGACTCCTCAGCTAGAGCGCGAGCTGAGCTGTCATTTTAAAGGCTTGCAACATCGAATTGCGGGTACAATTAGCAGTGGGAATGGCTCGATTAAGGTTGGCAAAGATCCAATGACTTTCGGTCTCTACCGTAGCATTGCAGCGGAAATGATAAAATCTTCGTCGCGCGAGATGATGTTCGCGCGAGCGTTTCTCCTGATGTCATGGAACCTAATATCTCGAGCCGCAAATACAGTATCTCTATGCTACAGCCACATGGAGTGGGATGAAGATGCCCTAAAAGTATTTTTCGCCCACGTGAAAAACGACTCGCCCAAGAGATCCTCGGCACATATACGCAAACCCCCTGATGCCTGAGATTTGTCCAATTCTCACTATCGGTGCGTACTATTGGATGTCATTTTCCCTCATAATGTTGCTCATAGTTGTTACATAAGCGATATATCCATGTAGGCTTGTACTGGCTGGTGTATGGTGTTGACTCGAGTGCAACTCAAGTATTTCCCGGGAGCGACCAGTATGATCTCTTCCGTAAAGCGCTTCGTCGACCAGTCCCATTAAGAACTTGAGGTCTGATGGTCGTTTTTCTGCTTAGAGTCTCTAAGATCGACACTCTTAAACCTGCGAAACGGTGGTAGAGATCTTGATGTATCCCCGCAGCACCAGAACACCCATGCTTGCTCAGCCGTGCCTTCGGGGAGTGCTACACCTTCAGGAAAAGCGTGAAAGCTTCCTCCCCAGCTGTGAAGTGCGTAGTTTATGCTGATGGCTCGATCAGCCGTCGTTGTGGCCGTTGTTGTGTCTGTGACTGTGCCAGACCCGACTCTGTCGCCCGGATCCGGTTGATGGCGCAGATAACCCTCCTTCTCGAGGCAACCAAGTAATGTAGTTGCAATTCGGGCACAGTTCGGAGTACCCCGGGTATCTGCTGCGTCATCAAGAGCTGAACGAACACCAGCAACTACATCGCTAACGAAATTCTGCTGATCTGTGCGCTGCTTTTCGACTGTGGCTTTTAATGATCGGAATTCGGATAATAACACAACATGATGTGGGATCCAGTGGCTGCAATGCTGCCATCTCCACTGGCCACGTCACATTTGATAAACGTTTTGAGCTCGTGCAAAATCTATTCACCCCTCATTAAAGCTGATTGAAAGACGGGATGATTTTCAGGCAAATTTTCCTTTAAGTACTCGTGATGGTATACAATAGACGCCAGCGCAAATTCGCCAATTAGGGAGCGCATTGGGGTAGCTGGCGAAAGGCAATTAGTTTGGCCGACTCCACTTGTTCACACCCTTCTCGAAATCTTGGTGGTAAGGTAGCAAAATCAGCATCGAGTATAGGCAAACCTGATACTGTCCGACCAACGAACATATCTCCGGCTGAGTCGTACCTCAAACATCGGTCCTGAACACCCCCCAGGGCCCACCCAGCCCGTAAATGAACAGCAATGACAGACGGACAAACCGTCGAACCGGACGAACAGTATGTACCAGCGCCTTTTCTCATCGAATGGGTACCGATGTCATCACAGTTTGTACCACGGCGCTCTGGCGCATGTGTCATACTGGTGCTCTCTAGTACTAGCAAGCAGTATCTCTCAATATCGACACACGAGTAATTACCACCGAAGCAGCCGTACTTGCTTTTCACCAGTGCGAAGACGTCTTAGCGGTACCTGGCGTGACGCCAAACGCGCGCAAGCGGCGGAGTAGTCAATTGGTATGGCAAACGGTGACTTCAATTATGCGTAAGAGATTAAGAACAGCGAGTCAGCAGCAATAGAAGCGTTAGCAAAGGCTCTATTACCGTAATGGGTCCTTAGCATGCGTGCGATTGTAGATGCCAACTGTAGAGTTTGTCGTGTAATCACTTCAAAATCTTAAACGTACCCCATCAACGTAGCCCCATCTGGTAAAACCTGATAAGTGCCCGGTAGATTCCGCCCACAAGTAAATGGAGCGAGGAATCGACTAAACGCCTAACTTGGACGGTGTTTTCGAAGTTAGTTGCTTTCACGTGGCTAAACTGGGGCAAAACCATTTTCTTGTATTTTTAAAATATCATAATAGCACATGCCTTGAGAGCGATATATTATTAATTACTATTAACAGAGACGCATGAGCCAATTGCAGACTAAGGATTTCATTACCGACCGGAGTAACGCGCAACGCATGCGTCTACTTGATTCCCAACGACCACCTGCGCTCAAATAGAGGCAAAAAATTGGCTTAGATGGACTCCACGAATATAGCCATGTGTGGCAAAGTGCAAAAATAGAAGCTCATGCTGTGCCTTCGACGCAGGCGAGGAAATCGCCGCACGACGACGTTGAGGGCTCGCGTGACAAAACATTAGTCAGACTACATAAGAATTTCGACTAGTAAAACTCCGCACTTGATACTTTAGTCGAAATGTGCTATTATATATTTTTTAGTTTTTTCACCATTGAACGTTTAGTAAAAAAAGGTGTGTTTGACGCTGCCAAACCTGCACGCTACCGGTACACGTGCTGTGGTGAGCATCAATAGCTTTGCAGTTTAAGTACCGGTATGCTCAATAACTCTTTGATAAATGCGTCCACTGCATTTGTTGGTAACAACATTACCGTAGTTGAAATGAGACTGCGTCAAACAAAATGATACTTACGAACCATTTAGAGCTATCGAGATGATCGAGCTTAAAGTTGGCTAATTGATTTTCGAAGCTAGCCCATTTGGCGTAAACTTCCATAAAAACTGTAAAACTACCCTTATTCAATTGCTTTTAACAAGGGTTTCTAAATGCCACTTCAATTATTAAAATTGAAAAAATATTGAGCTCACAACACTCCTAAATGTATCGTCATTTCGAGGGCCCCTAAATGAAGATAATATTTTTGAGCGACCACAACTTCCTCCGTTTTAAGCATTCTGTAGCTTATCAGGGCTCAAGAGATAAAGGAGACACCCCGCTTTCGTTTAGAGTGCTTAAGGCCCTTGTTCAGGTGGAGAATGCATTCCTGGTTGAGAATAGATTAGGGTTAAAACAAGCTTGACTAGAGGGGAGCCAACAGCTCGGCACGGTGTGCCACGAGCTGTCCAAGTCCAAACTTCAGTTAGCCTCGTCTGACTGGTCACAAGCAGTTTTCATCCGATGCCACCAGACCTGCCAGCCCACGAAGGGCACCCGAGTCTCCTCGCCAGTCTTGGCATGTGCACTGGAGAGCTGCCCCCGCCCTTCTTAGGCACTGAGTCAGCTGCCTCAACAAGGACGCCAAACATCTTGGTGTTACCACAGCCAAGCTGTTTACACTCACCTGCAGTCAACAGCTCGCCCTCAACTGTCGTGGATACTCCAGAATCAACTGCGGCTGCAGCTCCTGCAGCGACAAAGCGTAAGACTAAGGCAAAATGGCAAAGCAACGGAAGAAGCCAAGAGCCAGGTCAAGCGCGTCAAGTGGACCAACAAGATGGTTGGCGAGCTGCGTCGACTGCGCTTCTCTGATGGGGACGTCAAGCGCCGGCTCGAGAGTGCCGACACCAGAACCAAAACGGCGCTAGCATGGCAGTACTTTGCCAGCGTTCTCTCCCAAGAGCTTGGTATGGTACTCAACCGCGACCAGGTGAGTTTATTGCATTGATTGGACTTGCGTTTATTCACTACCATTAATTACAATTATTATTTGCATGCAGGTATCGCTCAAGTATAGAAAACTAAGGTGTGTCTATCGTAAGGAGAAGAGAGCAAAAGAGGACAGGAAATGCTGCTCGCATTAGCGAAATGGACGAAGGTATTTGGGCCATTTTGAACGATGCTTTTCGAGGACGAGTAGGCATTAGCGGCGACGTTTTGCTGAGCTCTGCTATTGACGAGGATGATGACGAGGGCATGGAAATTGATGGGACCCAAGCAACAGAAGAAGTCTCCAAGCAGAAACCGGCTCCCGTTGCCCAGCTCGTCACAGCTTTGCAAGGTGAAATGGAGGCAACAGAAAGAGAAGTGCAAGTTCCAGGAGATGCAGTTGCATCTTCTTCGTGAGCTACTAGCGCAGCGCCAGTAAAATGTGGAGTTGCTCGTTGTATTTGTGATTAACTACTAACAAATATAACGAGCGAGCTAACTACAACGCATCAAAATGTCTGCTATATCATTGCGTTTTGACCTGACGTCTTCTGCTCCAGTTTGCCCAGCAATACGCGGAAGCGCTTTTTTTAACGCCCGAGGGTGCACTCTACGACGATTCGAGTCCTGGAATGAGCCTTATTGTATCGCCTCTTTCGAGGATCTTGCATAGCGTCTGCCTCCGGAAACGGGGTCAACATATGACCCCAGATCTTGTAGCCGGCATCCGCCAGCAAATGCTTTCCAGGGGGCACGTAGCTAGAAATCCTACAAATGCATCAATCAAAATTAGATTTATTGTTGACAATAAAATGCCTGAACCTTATCTTTTTTTCAGCCCCGATCCATTACAGAGCGATTGGTCATTGTTTGACCCCGATCGAATGGAAATGGACCGGAACAGACCACGGTGGTCTACGATAGCTTGCACATTTACTTTGCAGGGAAATTCTTGCGACAGTACCAGCCTTCAAAGTCGTGTGGGCGCGCAATACGGACGAGAGTACCGTCGACGGCGCCAATGGTGTCAAGAAACCCGGCCGTAGCGTAGAAGCCATCTTAAACAGCTTTTAGCTCCTCTGCTGGCGGCATGGAGATAATAGATTTCGCCATGGCGCTGAGCACGTCCAGAGCATCGTTAATGTAGACTACACCACGAGGCCTGGAGATGCCCAGCGCCGTTGCAGCCTGGTCCATGGTGCCACCCTTGGCCAGGTAGAGTATCGTGAGCGCCACGCGCTTAATGACGGGGGCTTGGTGTTGGGGACGGGCTCACGGCCCCACGCTGCGTGCACTAACCGGTAGATACGTAGGAAAGACTTCTTGTCACACCGAAACTTGTCGTGGAACCACCCTGTTCCCGGGGTGCGATGAGCTGTCTCGAATGCTCGAGTGTTAAACGTCCTGGGGGCTTTGGGTGGCCGTCGTAAACCGCGCTTATCTGCCGTGGCAATGACAGCGCTCACGCTTGCAGCTACTACTACTGCTAGAATGGCGGCCGTGACGTCGTCCATGGCACAAATGTGCTGAGGGCAGAACACCTGCTTGAGAAGTTCCCAGAACAAGTGGTTCATCACGTCAATTTCTTAAGTGGTACATTGTACCGTTTAATTTTCAGCCAATAGAATCCCAGGCTATATTCCTTTTCAGAACGCGTTCTCCACTTGAACAAGGGTCTAAATCGCGATTCGTACTTAGATTCGTAAGTATCATTTTATTTTGGGCGGTCTCGGCACATTTAGGGGGAG